GTTTTTAGCTAAATTTTTTAATTGCTTAATTTATTGCTCTTAGAAATCTACAGAAAAATAAAGTAGTTTATCCTAAGATGTCCTATAGAATTGAGAAACCTTTTCTATAGCTCTCCTGACAGCCCTCTCTTTAAACAGTTGGGTCATATTCTTCTTCATAAGGCAGCTCTATGTTTGAATTCTTATTTGTTTTGTTCTCTACCTATAGAGGACAAACTCATTCCCTCACCTGCATAAATGTACAACTGTTTGAGGGCCAGTATCAACTCCCGTTAGTGTTATTTTTATGATAATCATCTCAACTTGACCTAGTACCTTCCTGGATTAAATTTGCATTTTAGTTTTTCTTACTGGGACAGCCAGAACCAAATATAATTCCCTTCTAAGTTTAGGAAAATAATATGGAGAAGAAAATTGTCTGTATTCCAGCTACCCGTATTAGCAGTTTGGTGTGTACTTCCAGATGCTTTGTTTTATTTTGTTTTTACACCCTTGAACATTTTTAATAACTGCGGAAAAGCACTTAAAGAATTCTTCTTCCTATTTCTGCCTTTGTGTGCTTTGTAGGTGTTTGTTTTTGGTCCTGATAAGAAATTGAAGCTGTCTATCCTCTACCCAGCTACCACTGGCAGGAACTTCGATGAGATTCTCAGAGTAGTTATCTCTCTGCAGCTGACAATGGAAAAGAGAGTTGCCACCCCAGTTGATTGGAAGGTAAAGATGTTAAAAGGACAAGTACTCAACTTGCCTGGAAGGCCTGAAGGACCAGTCTGTATCTGAAAAGCTTCCTTCAGGGTCTGTGTTACCTGGGGCTCTGTTTCTGGCATCCAAGTACACAGGGAGGATTTTTTCTTATGGCTGGGTTTAAGATTTGCTTAGAGACTATTTTCAGGGTCTTTAATACCTTTTATATAAAATACAAACTCCGTATATTGCTTTCTGCCTTTTAGATAATTTGGACAAATTAATTTATCAGAATGATTCCTTTTTCTAATACAAGGTGTTTTTAAAAAAACAAAAATAAAAAATAAATAACTTTTATCTATCTCTTCCCTGATGACAAAATATTTATAGCAAAATCCTGATTGGCCATTTTTCTGAAGTTGTGGCTATAAAACTATTGGCATATTAATTTCATGAAAAATTTCATTTCTCTTAAGCTTTATTTAGTCTTTCAAACCTATGTAGAATTCTCTGAAACTTGTGTACAAACTTTTAAACTCTAGGATTTCTGCAAATATGGAAGACATGGATAGTATCACAATAGTATCTTAACATTGCTACATTTTTTAAATATGCTAACCTGAATACCAAGTTTTGCTGTTTTGTTTTGTTTTGTTTTTTTCTGACAGGCAAACCATTTAAATTCTGTATCCATTAATCAAACATATATTTATTGTGTCCCGGCAGTGGGCACTGGGGAAATAGCAGTGGACAGTAGAAAGTCCCTGCCCTCATAGAACTTACATTCCAGTGGGTAGAGACAGCAGGCCAACAAGTCCACAGTCGCTTAGGCAGTGATAACAGGTGCTACAGAGAATAATCGAGCAGATAGGCGCACAGGAGCACAGGAGCGGGAGAGTTGCTGTTACATTTGGCTCTCAAGGAATGCCTTTCTCTTAAGGGATCTTTTAAAAGGACATGGAGAAAGCACGTGACCAAGTCATGCATATTGAGAGGGAAGAGCACTGCAGGCAGAAGGAGAGTTAGTACAAGGAGCTTTACCTAAAAGTGGGCTTGGCGTGTTGGAGAAATAAAAGAAAAGCCAGCACGCCTGGAAAAGCAGCAGCAGGGATGAGGTGAGGGACTAAAAATGAACAAGGAGCCAAGATTCTAAGGCTGTTGACCTTAGAATTAAAATTTAAAGT